TTTTAAAATTTTAAAATTTTATTTATTTATTTATTTTTCACTATTGTATTTGCAGCGACTGGAATGGAAGCAAGCGTGGGCATGTTTACAAATTCCTAAGGTCCCAAGGATTTGTATCATCTTATGACATTGCCCATCAGTATACAGACAGCGACGCGGATGCTCACAGGGTACGTATCTTGGCTGCTGGATGTTAGTGTCCCTTTATCAGTATGCCATGGCAATGTTTGTGTTTGTGATGCTTACTTATGTCTCCTCTGTATCCCAGTGGATTAGCCACCAAAATCATAGGGGAAACATCTGTGGGGTTGATTTCATATGGCTTCGTAATCCTGGTAATCCTAGGAAATCCTTAAAAGCAAGTTGGACCGAAGCAGTGTTTGGTATCACGAAGGTGAGTTCACAAAATTTTCTTCTTATCTGCAGGTTGCTTATTTCAAATTTATGTTATTAATTCATCTACGTGATTTATTCAAATCCTTAAATAGTCATACTTCTAGAGTATAGGAAATTTTGTAATTTGTTTCAAGTAACTCTCAGAAGTGGAAGAAGAATGTAAGACAGAATCTAACTCGCAAAAAATTATGTGCAATTGAAGTCTATGTATGATCAATGGTTGTGGAACCTAGCTCTGAACACCTTTTCTCTGCAATTTTGTGTGTATAATCAATGTCTTCACTAAGGAAGCACGGAGTGCTTAGAAAATAAATGTATCAAATATCAGTCACATATTGCTTCCTCCTCTAATTCTTGATTACTTGACCTTGGTTTCAGTATCAACTCCAAAAGGCCTCGTTGGCTGAAAATGATGCCTTTGCCTTTCTAAGGGCTGACAATCATGACGATTTCATTACTTACTCAGCATTCTGTGAAGCACTTGGACAGGTACTTCATATTTAAGTCATAAACTCACACTGGCTTCTTTCGTATATATATGATGCATAATTTGATTAATAGTAAGATGTAGAGGTACTAAATTTTACACTGTACAGGCAAATTTAAATGGTCTTTCGCATGGAATAAGTTTCCAGCAGACAAAGGATCTATGGATGCCAGTAGACATTGATGGAAATGGTGTCCTTGACTGTGATGAATTTGAGGTGTGTTTCAAACCTAATCTTAAAGTTCTGTCCTTGGCTTGTATCACCAACTCTTTCTATAGACTCACATCCTGAAGACCTCATGATGCTGCAGAGGATATGGAATTCTTCATGGTCAGAGCAAACAGAGGAGAACCGTGATTTTGAAGACTCCAAAGAGGAAGAAGCCATGGGTTTTGCAGTGAAGAATGCCGTCCTCTTCCCCCAAGAAGCAGAGAAAGGAATGTGGCCTGAAAACTATTCTCTCTCCGACCATGTCCGACTCACCGTGGCGTTCACCCCAATGAAGATACACTGTTCTTAGCTACCCAAATAACCGCACTCACATTTCACTGCAAAAAGTACCGTAAAGCAATTTTGCACTAGGTAGTCTGCACTTGGATATATTACTGTCCTTGAACGTGGGTTTGTTTTGTTTTGTTTTTTTTTTTGTTTTTTTCAGTCATGATGAAATAAACTTCTCATCATTTTGTCTAGTTTTGTAAAGAGTACTCGGCAGGAAATAAAAAAATCACAATTTTTTTTTTCTCGATTTTCCTTCTATGGTATGCTGTATGTTGTAAGAAAAACAAAAAATAATAAAAAAGGCCCAACATTATTTTAACTCGATTTTAAGTTAAAAGATTCAAATTTAAAGTTTAAAATAAGTTGGAAGGAATTAAAAATGATTAAAAATTTATTTTTTAATAATATTTTTTGTACCAATGAGATAAATAATTTAGTGATCATCTTTTTTCGTCAAAAATAAAAAGTTATGAGTTCGAGTTATATAACATAGGAATGAAGCGGGATAAAAGATGAAAAATGATTGGTTTTCATTATGTAATTAAAATAAAAATAATAAAAATATTTTGGGTATAATTTTATTTATTATTTAAATAATTAATTTTTTATTTAAAATTTATAATATTAAATAAATAGTTATTTAATAATATAAAAAAGTTATATAAAAAAATTACGTCTACATTACTGTCATTAAGCAAGAGAGGAGGCCAAAAAAATGACGTAAAAATGGATGTTTTGCCATCAACGATGTATTGATGTAAGCGTAAAGAATTTGATTTTTTTAAAATAAAATTTAAAATTAATTTTATAAATAAAAAAATAACATTATGAAAACTTTTTGTTATAAGATTTAGTTAACTCAATATAATTATTAAATATCAGAGTTTAATATAAAAAAATGAAGAAGATGCTTTTGCAAAAACAATTCTAAAACAAAAATTATCTTTAAAAAAAATTCTTTCTACGTAGTCCGTACTGAATAGGTAAATTAAATGTGTATAAATTACGTTAAGTTTGTCGGTTTACTGTTTACAACTTCACATTCGAGTTGAGATTCGTTTCCCACCACGGTTACTTCGACGATAAGAAGCGGCGATGAGAATGACAATGACAGCCGGAGTCTACTCCCGGTCAATGCTTTTTTCTTTTGTAATAAATAATTTATTTTCTAGCAAAATTCCAAATTGCTCTCTCAATTCTTGGTGGCGAACAAGACGAGAATGATGTGTACCTCCTACTCCAACGGCGACTGTTACTGCGGCGTCGTCGGATTCCGGTTCAGTCCGTCGGATGAGGAAATCATCTGTCACTATCTATTGCACAAGATAACCGGGGACGATAATCGCACCCTCGCCATCTCTGAGGTCCAGCTCCTTCAGTGTGAGCCCTGGGATTTACCTTGTAAGTACTCGATTATATATTTTCCGATTGTTGTTTGTTGGTTAACATAGTTGATTTTTCCGGTCTTGACTCCGACTGAATTTTGTGTTAGCGCTATCGATGATTAAGTCGAACGATCATGTGTGGTACTTCTTCTGCCGACGAGATACCAAGTATGCCAACAGTCAGAGGACCAACCGAAAAACCAAAGAAGGGTTCTGGAAGGTCACCGGAACTGACCGTATAATCCGTGCTAGGGGTACCAACGAACAGATTGGTACTAAGAAGACCCTGGTTTATCATAAGGGTTCTTCGTCTAATGCAGTCGGAACCAATTGGGTCATTCATGAGTACAGACCTACTGCGTACACCATCCCATCTAATACGGTACATTCTCATGAAGAATTCGGTATCAGATGATATCTTGTGCTTGTTTTTGTTGCTCATTTTTCGATTTCAAACAAGAAGTTTTCCTTTGCAAACAATTGTCTTTTTTCAGTTGAAAGGTGAATCTTAGTTTGTTTGGATTTTCTGCTCCAAGTTTGATGATATGCTGGTGGTTGTAACAATAATTTGGCTTCATAGTTAGACATTGCAATATCCTAACTTGTGACCTCATGTGTTTTTGTCCTTAAATTTGCTTAGAGGGATTTTGTGGTTTGCCGCCTAGAGGAAAAACCAGATGAGAAGAACTCACCTTCCCGCAAAGGTGAGTGTGGTAGCAGTCCAGCTTCTACTTCAAATAATATGGCAGCTAATAATGCGCTCCCTGAAGTAAGTTGAGGATTGACTCGTGGGTCTTTCTTGTAGTATTGTTTTATGGAAGTGCAAGAAGCATTTGTTGAAACTAATGCTTGCTTGTTTGTGATTCTTACTTAGCGACGTCCTCATTTAGAAGCAAACACTGGGACATTTGTTGCCAACAATGCAATGGATTATGAACTAGCTGTACAGGCATCGATGGAAGAGCAGGGTCTCTTTGAAGAGCAGGGTCTCTTTGAAGAGCGGGGTCTCTTTGCTGAGGAGGTCTCAGATTTCCATGGTATTGACCAGGATTGGATGCAGGAACAGGACCCTTCCTACATGGATATGTTGCCTGATGGCTTCTCTATTGGGCTGAATGTGGGGCAACCTGAATCGGATACTGATGATGAGAATGGAGAAGATTTTGTGAATTCACTGCTTGTTGATGACGATCAATTCATTGAAGAAACTGTTAATACTCTTCAACATGGTTACAGACCATCAAGACCACGCACAAGAGTCTACGTGGATGATTCCAGTGAAATAGAAACTGTAATGGGCAATGTGCAGGTAAAAGAAATATTCTCCAGTAGTTGTTAGAAATTGCAATTATTGTGTCTCAGTTTTGCAAATCATTAAAATGGTGACAATATCATTTTCCCATCATTATTCGGACACTACAGAAATAACATGTTCTCTTCATATCTCTCTATGTAACAGAATCAACCTTACAATTCTGGAGGATCCTGGCAGAACCCAATGGAAAATGAATTGAATTATGAAGACATCCTGATATTTGACACTGCCAGTAATGACTCAGCTGCAGGCACATCTTACAGGCGCAACTTTCATGAATCTGCCCAAAAAGACACTTCCATTACCACAAGAACCTCCAAATCTCAATATCAGCCAAGATCCACTCTGCTAACAGAGAAAGCTCCAAGAAACATCCAGTTGCAGAGCGGATTTTCAAGCAAAAATGAAGTTTCCCGGGACAAGGTATGTGATCCAAAATATTCAGCATAAAATATTTACAATATATCCCAATTCAACTGGATGGTGGGGCTTAAATTAATTGAAGCAGTAATGCATTGTTAAAAACTTAAAATGCTGATTAGCTAATTATAAGCAACAAACTAATTCTATTTGCAGGCAAGAGATATTGAATTACAGAAATCTTCCTTCTCTTATAACCATAAGAGTGAGAGAGGGGTAATGCATTCAGATGGAAATTTCAACAAAAAGTAGAATAAAAACTTTCATCTAAAATGCCTTTAAGTAAACAAGCACAAATTAGAGTTGAGTACCATAAATTTAAACCTAAACCAATTGTCCTCTAGAAACCTCTTTTCATAATACCATCAAAATAGGACACCAGCAGATGAATTTACTTTCAAGCCAAAATGCACCTTAGTTGAATCAGTTGTTCCAACCAATGTTTAGAGAAGTAAAAGAAAACTCTTGTATCTGTAGATGAAATCTTTCAAGATAACAAACAGAAAGTAGGTTTAGACGAATGCAGATTAGAGATGATTACTTTCTGTTTAACCTAATATGCCAGATTATACTACTTCAAGTTGAACCTGAGATGTGATTATTCATTGAAAACAAAGAGTAAGACATCAAAGTTGTATCCAGACCAAATAAGACATCAAACGATCTTCTGGTAGTAACCAATTCTTTTAGGTGAAATGTGAATTTTATTACCTATAATACCGAACTCCTTGTAAAAAGCAGCACTGGCTCTCCAGGCTGCTACCAAAATCTAATTACAATAAATCAACAAATCCAGCAACCAAACAAGAATCAGTCTCTTCCCATACACAGTATTCTCTAAACCCCAGTTTTAGGCAGTACTCTGTGACACTGGAGGGGCTTTCATCTTAGCAAACCCCAGCAAACAATCTTGAACATCTGCATGAATATCACTTAAAAGGGCATCACCAGATCAAAATGTGCCTTTATGAAATCGATTACTCCTTCAAATTAGTAACAAATTCACATTGCAAAACCACAAACCATGTTATTTTTTGTAACAGTACTAAAATTTCAGGAGAATTCAGAAAACATGACTGTTGGTATCAACTTGTAAAAAACCAGATGTATGAAGAAATTCAGAAAACAGATGTTATGCAATTATAAAAAATTAGATGTGTGAAATTTTTAATTAAACAGATGACAATTGGTATTTGTTTATCAAAAATTAGATGTGTGAACAATGTCAGAAGAAATACCAGGTAGAGTTCCACAAAACAGATGACAAACAATATGCGTTAATCACAATGAGATGTGTAAAGAATTTCAGAAGAAAAATACCAGTAGGAATTTAAGAGAATGGTACAGAGAAACTGAAGTTGTTTGAAATAGTCCTCACATAGATAGAAACATCCAGACAAACTCCAGAACCAAAGAAGCCACCAAATCAAGAAGCCACAAAAAATGTTGTGAATGAACTATACCACCCACAATAAATCAAAAGGAACCACTTAAGCAGAATACCATGAAACAACATCTATGCTGTAATTCTTAACAAGTGAAAATGGCTGATGTGATGAGATTGGGTCTTTCACTATAACTTGTCTGAAAGGAGAATTCCTTTGTGCAGTCTAACAAAGGCCATGAAATGGATCGGGAAAAGAGAACAAAAGAGGATTCAAGCAGAAGATCTCCTGAGTCAACAGGCAGCAACAGAAGAAGTTCTTCCATTTTCAAGGATCAGGAAAAGGGAACAAAAGAGGATTCAAGCAGAAGATCTCCTGAGTCAACAGGCAGCAATAGAAGAGGTTCTTCCATTTTCAAGGAGACGACTCAGTCAAACTCCACCCCAAGTCCACGATCAGTATATCTTTTCAAGGTAATTTGGGGTCTAATTTTGTTTATATTGTTTCTTACCGAGGGAGTGGGTCTTCATTGACCTATATAGTATCATTATGACATCTTAAAATGAGAAGACAATAAACTCCCAAAGCTGCAAGGGGTCATACATTTAGCTTGGATTCCTTGCCTTGTCTTCTTGAGATGACAACCATATAGCATTTAGGATTGTAACAAACTATTGTGTGCAGTTATAGTCTCATGTAACAACTGAAGTTGTACTCAACCCTGTTGTTGTCTTGCATTATACAGGACTTAAATTCAGTTGTAATCTATATGCAGAGTTGTTATTTTGACATGTGAATGTATCTACAGAAATATGTCTTGCACCAGGAACAATCTGCTGTCCTTTTAACATGATCTCAAGTTTCGAATTGCTTTAACTTAAGTTATCGGCTTCTCCTTTTGATCTTTTTAGGGTTTTATTGCCAACAGTTGAGACATGTATTTCATTTCACCCTTGGATGATAATAGATGATGTCTTACTTCTTCCCACAAAGCAGGATTAACGATACCATAGAACATCCTCTTTTGGAATAAGCAATTAGGCATCTATGATCTACCTGCCTCAGTTTTTCCATTTTTCAATATCAGTTCATTTCAAGGATTGGCTTGTTTTCTTGGACTCACCACACTCAACTTTGAAACCCAGAGTTTCATTCCTTCATAGCTTTGCGCCTTTGTTACAAAAGTGCTGGCTTGCCAAGTAACTTTTCTTTGACGAGCATACCTTGTTCCCAGTTCCACAAACTCAAAAGAGCCTGGATTCGCCATTTTCTGTGAAGAGCATACGTTTTTCTCAGTTCCACATACTCAAAAGAGCCTGGATTCGCCATTTTCTCAGGAAAATATGTTGCATGAAACTAATGATACTAAAGTCTACGGTCCAGTGTCCATAGACATTGATGCATTTTATGATGATCTCTATGTCTTTGGTGACACTGACCTATCAATTAAAGTGGGATTGGAATCAAAGTCATGATTTCTTCTTTCCTGGAGAATAAAAGCATCAAATGTGTTACGTGGTGATTGGTGCAACTAACAAAAGAAGGCCAAAAAAACAGAGAATGAAGATGATATACGATGGTGGTAGGACCCGCTGGAACTTGTCTAGCACCTTCAAAAACAATCTAATTAGAAAAAATATATATATAATGAATTTTTACAATAACTCATATATACATTGACTCTTTTTTTCATAATGAATTTTTAAAATAATTAGATAACAACCATAGCTTAAAATATCAATTTAACGTCTTAATTTTTAAATTTACATTAAAATTATTTTTAAATTTAATAAAATATTAAAATAATAACTTTAATTTTCAAAATCAAAATAATCTTAATAAAAACTTTATATAACCCTTATCTTACCACAAAATTAATTAATATTTTTTTATGAATGGTTACATAACAAAAGATAATTCTCTTTCATTTTTTATCTCATCACATTCGTATACTATGCGATTTGAATTTAAGATCTTTTATTTCTAATAAAAAAAATTAATATTGAATTATTTAAATTGTTGATAATTAATTTTTTAAATATTAAAAACATATAAATCAAGTAAAAAGAAAATTTTACCACCATAATATATTTATTTTTACTCACCAAATTACGACCCACCCCACTGTTTTCAACTTTTTTTTTTAGTGAGACCTACATGGACATGCGAATCAATATTCTTTTTTTTTTTTCTTTTTTTTTAGCATGGTATACCGTATACGCGGTTTATTGGGGTCCACTTGGGTTCCTTTTTCTAATTCAACAACTTTGTCAAGAAGTTCTTGAAAATGGAAAATAAAAAAAATAAAAATATAAATAAACAACTTCCAAAACAAGTTGGGAGCTCTGCATATAATCTCACTGAAAACTTTGGTGCTTTCGCTTCAGAGACCAGCGTCTTCCCTCTCTCCATCCCTTTTCATCTCTCTTCTGTTCCGCCTTTGAATGTGAGAAAATGAGCATTTGCAGTAGCAGCAGCACTAGCAGTAACAGGATAGTCGGATACAGATTCCGACCGACCGATGAAGAACTCGTTGGAGTTTACTTGAGCAGTAAAGTACTCAGTCGTGATTCTCGCGTCCAAATCATCACTCTCCCTGAGATTAACAACCTCAGCGAGTTGGAGCCATGGCAATTCCCCGACCAGCCCTGTGAGTATTCAGTACTTTTTCTCTTTCCCATTTCTGAGCTAGTTTCTCTCAAATTCCATGTGTAATTCTTTGTGATTTATTTGTAGGGCCTCCGGAAATAGATCCCCGGAATCGAACATGGTACTTCTTCTGCCGACGAAATCCTAACTGTAAACGGGTCAAAAGGGTTACCAAGGCAGGATTTTGGAGTATCACAGGCGAGCCGAAGCAGATACGGGATGCTAAAACAAAGAAAGAGATTGGGTTGAAGAGGATTATGACATTTTATGTTAAAGATCCTGTTTCTAATAAGAAAAAGAAAGAAAATAAAACCCCTTGGGTCATCCATGAGTACTATCTTCCCACTCACGTAAGAATTTTATCTCTTTACTTTGTTTGTTTGTTTGCAAGTTGCTTTGCTAGTTATTGCATACTCTGTATTAGGTTAAATTTCTAGGGTTTTCTTTTTTCTTTTTTCTTTTTTTTGTGTTTTCCCTGATATGAAGCACTGGCTTGCCATATGGTTGATTTCTTCTTTAAAATTTTTTAGATGAATTGCAAACTCTCTTTTTAGCTCAGAAGGTAAATTTCTATAGTTGTCTTTCAAATTGTTTCTTTTTTTTTTTTTTCTTGGATTTGAGAATACAATAAAGAGTGCTTTTGCTGTGTGATTGCAGCATGTGATTGTTTCTAAGATCTAATTTTAATGAAGTGCATTTTTTTCTTATATTGGATGCATGCAGAAGAACTATGTTCTCTGTAAATTGAAGAAAAAAGAATGTGAGACAGCTGACAATTCTAGCCCTGAAGGTCAACCATCTATAAATTTACCTGACATTTCAACCCCTGAAGGTCAGATAAATATGCCTGAAGGTCAGACGAGTATTCGTTTGCCTAACATGTTGAGCCCTGAATGTCAGACGAGTATTCGTTTGCCAAATATGTTGAGCCTTGAAGGTCAAACGAGTATTCGTTTGCCAGATGTGTCGAGCCCTGAAGGTCACACAAGTGTTCATTTGCCTCACACGTTTAGCCCTGAAGGTCAGATGAATATGCATTTCCCTTCTAATTTGAAAAACCATGCTCTTGGGGATCAAAGTCAAGAGGTAAGATGCATCAAGTCATTTAATCATCTTGGTTGCAATCAATATATCCAGAACTAATATTGGAATCATTATATGTCTTAGATTTTTGATGTGCTTGAAGATGATGATCTGCGAGATCCACTGATGGCAAATAATCAAGAGGAGCCTGATATTTCTAGCATGCTGGATTTTGATAGCAGGCTAGATGTTGATAGCGTGCTGTATTTTGATGAATCCAACTTGGATTGTACAGCATTTAGTCAACAAAATATGGATGTTGGGAATGAAGGCTCCGGCTTGCCTTTCTTTCGTGCAATGTCATCCATCTCTGCCGAGTCACCTTTAAAAAGATCTCGTGTTGAAGATGGAGGATCAAACACTGGTGCAGAAACCGAAGTG